CACAGTAAGTTCAAGGCCAGCCTGAACTACATGGTGAGACCTAGTCTCAAAAATAATAATAATCAATTAAAAATATAAAGGGCTAGAGACATAGCTCGGTGCCAAGAAACTGGGTTCCATCTCTGGTACTGTTACGAAAAAAGAAAAAAAGATTCCCGCCAGCTCCTGCTGCGGTTGGACACAGCTTGGGAGTAGCTTCCACTCCCACTGCATGGACACCGCCTGGCCTTGCACTGAGACCAAAGGAGAGGCCAGCAGGTCCGGGGGGGGCAGGAAAGACAGCTTCCTGGGGACTCACTAATACCAGCGTGGTTGTGGCCACAGTGAGGGTGAAGGCATACCCCCAGTTTGGGTCAGGAGGGTGTGGATATGGGCCAGAACAAGGGGACTCCAGCCTGTGGGAAAGTGTCCGCTCTATCTCCAGCTAATACCAGAGCCACACACAGCCTTGAGCCAGGGGCCAGTCGGGCAGCCCCGCATACCTCCCTAATGGCTCGTCTATTTATAGTTTTCTGGGAAACTATTCGGGAAGACCCATCAGAGCTTGCTTTGAGGCAGTCATGGTGGCTTTAATTTATTTATTTAGGTAAGACAGGGTCTCCCTATACCTTCTAGGCTGGCCTTGAGCTCCCTATGTAGCCCAGGTTGACCTCAAACTCAATGCAATTCTCCTGCCTCAGCCTCCTGAGTACCTAGATTACAGGTCTGGGTCACCATGCCCAGCTGGTGGCTTTAAAAATTTTTTTTCTTTTTCCTTTTTATTGGTACCGGGGATCAAACTCATGACTGCCTGCTTGCAAGGCAGGCGCTTATGCCACTGAGGTAAATCCCCAGCCCGCCTTTTTTTTTAAGATGAGTTCCTACTTTGTAGTTCAGGCTGCCTTTGAATTCATGATGCAGCCCAGGCTGGCCTTGAACTTGCAGCAATCCTCCTGCCTCAGCTTCCCAGGGTACTAAAATCACAGGTGTCAGCCATTAAGTCCAGCAGTTATGGTGGTTCTGATTTAAAATGATGGCAGTCTCCTCGAGGTGAATTCCTAAGCGAATGTGGAAGCAGGTATTTGTCATCTCAGGACTTTAGGAGGCTGAGGCAGGAAGGTTGCGAATCTGAGCCCAACCTGGATAATTTAGTGACTTGGTGAGACCCTGTCTCAAAAAAACAAAAAGAGCCGGGGATGCAGTTCCGTGGCGTAAGCACCTGCCTGCCTAGCAAGCACAAGGTCCTGAGTTTGATTCCCAGTACCAAAAGAGAGAGGGAGAGAGAGAAAGTCTCCCATGCTTGGTTAACTCAGCAAGCAGCTTCTTCCTGCCTGCTTTTCCGCCCTCTTGGGTAGCAGCCAAGGGCCCCTGGCCAGGACACTGGCGCCTGCCGTTTGGACCTCCTGGCTGCCAGAATCGTGAGCTGGCCGACCTCCGGTTATAAGGCTCCCAGCCCAGCATATTCTGCTACAGCAAACAGGTAACGCCTCAGAGGATCTGCATACAGAGACGCATGCAACTCGCCAGTGGGAAGCTCTGCTCCCAGTGAATTCACTACATAACCGAGGCTGGCCTCAAACTGAGAGTGAGCCTCCTGCCTCAGCCTCCTGAGTACTGGACAACAGGCCTGTTCCACTATGCCTGGCTACCAGTTCATTCCTTTTTTTAAAGCAACTGACCGGGGTGGTGTGATGGCACATACTTGTCATCCCAGCACTCAGGAGGCTGAGGCAGGAGGATCGTTGTGAGTTCGAGACCAGCCTGGGTTACAAAGTGATTCCAAGGCCAGCCTGAACTGCAGAGTGAGACCCTGTCTGAAAAAGACAAATAAATAAATAAACCAACAGCTCCCCTGGACACACCGTGCTTCCTGGGGCCAGAGAATTCATCTCCTGGGGGACCCACGGCACATCGAGGTGCCAGCCACAGAGGTCCCCAGACATCACCCAGTGTCCCCTGAGACGGCACCGCCCCAGTTGAGAGTACCCGGGTCAGGTCAACGCTGGGCACCCCAACAGCCCCGGCACCCCGCGGCCCCCTGGCCTGCGGCGGCCCCAGGATGCTTCCCACAAGCGACTTCCCCACACTAGTGGGGATGGACAGAAGTCTCAGTCCCGGAAGCGGGGACCCCTGGTCACACTCCCTGCCCCAGTGTCTCCTGCTGTGACCCTGGGGCCCAACTCTGTATCGTCCCCAAAAAATCAACACAGGGGCTTTTAACCTTGGTGCCGCCCACACCAACAGCTAAGGATGCCTCCCTTTCTCCCACTTCAAGGCCCAGCACCCTGGAATGCAGCTTTTAACCAGCAGGGGGAGCAGTGCCTTCATAGCTCGGCCTGTCTCCGACTCTCTCCTCTTTTGTTATGTTTTGTTTTTGCACTGGCAATTAAACCTAGAGCTTTCGTAGCGAGCTGCAGCCCCGGCCCCGCCCCACCTGATTTTACTGTTGATTATTTTTAAATTTTGTTTTGGTACCAGGAATCGAACTCAGGACCTCAAACTTCCAAGCAGACACTGTGTCGCCAAGCTCTGTGTTTAAAATATTTAAAATTATTTATTTTTTATTGTCTTTTTGACACAGGGTCTCACTATGCTGTTCAGGTTGGCCTTGAACTCATTTTGTAGCCCAGGCTGGTCTCGAACTCACAACGATCCTCCTGCCTCAGCTGGGTGTGGTGGCCCAGCCTGTCATCCCAGTACTCGGGGAGGCTGAGATGACAGGCGTGCGCCACCGCACCCAGTTCTTTTTTTATTTTCTTAACTCCTGTAACCACGAGACTGTAAGTCAGTATACAGGCGTCTCACTGTCCCGCGCTCCAGGCCCATTGATCCAGCCTTGTCACTGATGAGCTCGCCCTCCAGTGACCAGAACTGCCAGGCTGCTCCATCCTGCTTTTGTGCCTTCTGCTTGTGTGTCATATAAAGTTGGAGCTTGGGGCTGGGGATTTAGCTCAGCGGCATAGCACCTGCCTTGCAAGCAGGCGGTCGTGAGTTCAATCCCCGGTACCAATGAAAAAGACAAAAAAAAAAAAAAAAAGTTGGAGCTCACAGGACCTCCGTTATAAGTAGCTGTTCACTGCCTCCTGATTTTTTCAGGCTGTCATTGTTTTGGGGGGTGGTACTGGGCCAGGTATCAAACTCGGCCTCACACTTGCCAGGCAGGTGCTTATGCCACTGAGCTAAATCCCCAGCCCCACTGACTGCCATTCTTTTCCTATTTTGCCACAACAACCCCAGCACTTGGGAGGCTGAGGCAGGAGGCTCAAATGAGTTCAAGGCCAGCCTGGGCTATGTCAGCCCTCGATGGATTCAAGGTCTGCTTGGTCCTTAAGGTCTGTGAACTTTGGTGCCCCTCTCTGGACAGCCTGGCCTCACATCTCCCAAGGGTGGTGGCCCTCAAATGGCCCCAGAGCCTAAGGTTGGGTCCTGGGTCCTGCATGTGCCATCTCACGGTGACCTATTTGCTGCCTCCACTGGGAGACACCTGGGCTGTCTAGCCTGGGACCCCGGGAATCCGGCAGTGAAGCCTCCTGGGGAGGCTGTGGGCCACAGGGCCTGCCTGAAAAGGACAGGTGGCAGGTGACACGGCCCTCCCTGTGGCCATGTCTCTATCTTCTGAGTGTGTCTGTTCAGGTCTTCTTGTGGTCCTGCGATCTGCAGTCCAGGGAGCCCTGGAAGTCGGGGCTTCTGCGGTCAGAGGTCTTGAGATGCCTGCAGCTGTGAGCTCCAAGTTTCGATCCTCCTGCCTCAGCCTCCTCAGTGCTGGGAAGACAGGCATGCTTAACCACACCTGGCTTCCTCAGGGGTTCTGAGGGCAGTCAGGTGCCCCTTAACGCTGGGAAGTGAAGACAGTGGCTTTCTTCTCAGGGTGTAGGTAACTCTAAGCCACCTTCCCTGGGCAGCTGCAGGAAGCCCCTCCCACCCCATTGCCCGGATGATCCTGGTCCAAGGGTCAGCACAGCAGGAACACCTAGCCCAAAAGCCAGCCCATTGTAACCCAGGAAATCAACAGGGCAATCAGCCAAAGAAAAACCCACAACTGGGCACCGGAACATTGACTTTGTCTGCCCAGATAGAACCTGCTGTGCCGTGGGCGTGGTCTCCACCCGTCAGGGTGGGCGAGTTCTCAGCTCTCCCCAGCCAGCAGTGCCCGGCCTTGGGCACCTATGGTCTTCGAGATGTCCCCCGGTTGCTACCTGGAAGCTCATGATGGAAGGATGGATTTTCTGATTTCACAACCTTCCAGTGCCGACTATGAACCTTTACTATGGGTTGGATCTGAAACGTCGTCCCCCAAAAGCCTGTGCTTGGTTCCTAGCTGGGGGTGAGGGTGCCCCCCTGTAATTCCACGATTCCAGGAGGCTGAGGCAGGAGGCTCACCAGGAAGAGCCCAACCCAGGAAATTTAGCGAGACTGTTTCAAAATTTTAAAAGGGGGGGGGGCGGGGATGTAGCTCAGTGGTACAAGCAACTGCCTGGCACGCGCAAGGCCATGAGTTTGATGCCCAGTAGCAAAAAAATTTTAAAAACTAAACTAAAAGTGGTTGGCGGTGTTGCTCAGTGCTAAGGCCTGCCTTACCCCCCACCCCACTGGAAAAAAAGAAAGTCCCCATACACTGACAAATACGTATGGCAGTGACACATGGTACCCACAGAGGGTGGACATAATTCACTGGACTGGCACCTAAAATGTGCATGTCTCACCCAGCAGTCAAGAGGGCTTTTTTGCCTACTGGCCAGATGGGGAAACTGAGGCCTGGAGTGGGTCCAAATCCAGACCGCGTTCTCTTCCGACGCATTTCCATGGAGGAGTCTGAAAATGCGGCTCTTGCAGTGCCTGCAGACCGCTGTTGCGCCCCCTTCCCTCTGTTTCTCTGTTCTGCCGGTTTCCCAAAAGTCCTCTAGGTTCCAGGTTTCCCTTAGCCGCGGGCTGGGTCTCGAACCCGCGGTACACATCGCTGGATTACATCAATGACACAACCTCGCCTTCGCCGGGTCACGTGGGCGCCGGGCTGGACAGGAGCGCTCCGCAGCCGCGCGCGGTGCCTTTGGGAATTGTAGTTCTGGCCCTGCCTCCTTACACTCCCATCGTGCCCTGCGGCGCCAGGCGGGGCGAGCTGGTTGCTAGGTCTTGGTGAAGCGCAGCGCTCGCGCGAATCTCTCTAGGTGAGCGTCTCCCGAAATCTCAGGTTTTTGCATCCCAGCGTTCCACAGATAGGAAACAGGGATGGCGACGGGGGTCTGGGCGGTGACTGGCGAAAGGGACCGTTCGGGCACTGAGGGGTTGGCTTGGTCAGATTTGCGGGCGGGTGGGTGGGCATGCGCTTGCGCGTGATGTAGCCTTAACGCGCGTGCGCTGAGGCCTTTAGGACCCTTCTTTAAGGCCTGGCGTGTTTCTACGCATGCGCGTCCTCTGGCACTTTCTGGGGACCCCGTGCACCCCAGGTGTTTCCGGTGTCCCCAGTGGCTCCTCGCTGCCTGTCCGACTTTTTCGGGCTGCTAATTTAGCAGCTTCCTGATCTCGAAATTTCTTTTAGGAAGTCTCCTAATTTTTTTTTGTCTTTTTCATTTTTATCGGTACCAGGGATCGAACTCAAGACCGCAGCTTGCAAGGCAGGTGCTTATGCCGCTGAGCTAAATCCCCAGCCCCAGTCTCCTAATTTTTTAATAAGCCTATAAGTTGATTATCTTTGCAGATAGTTATTGTAAGTGTGAATTGTCAAGGACTTTTCTTTTGCAGTTCTAGTTACTGATTGCAGGGCCTTGAGGATGCTGGGCAAGCGCTCAACCATTTTAGCTACACCTACCATCTTTTTTATTTTTGGTGTTTTTTGTTGTTCTTTTGAGACAGAGTATCGTTATGCAGTTTAGGCTTGCCTTGAGCTCCTTTTGAAGCCCATGCTGGTCTCAAACTTGGAACGATCCTCCTGCCTCAGCCTCCTGAGTGCTGGCGTTACAGGCATGCACCACTACGCCCGGCGATCCTTTTAATAAAGCCGTGAGTCACTAAATTGTGCCGGCTCACCTTGAACTTGGGATCCTCTAGTCTCATCAGCCTTCCAAGTAGCTCAGGTTAAACTTGAGTTACAGGTGTGTGTCACTCGTGCGTCCCTTTGAGCCCTTTTCATAAGGTGACGTTGGGTGTCTACCACAGCACGCTCCAGGGGCTCCATCAGGTTCGAGTTCTGGCCAGGCGTGGCGGTTGTATGCCTTGTAATCCCGGCAGTCTGGGAGGCTGAGGCAGAAGAACTGAGAGTTTGAGACCAACCTTGGCTACTTGAGGAGACCAAATCTCAACGTAAAAAGTGAAAAGGCGTCGTCACTTACTGGGAAGAGATCTGGATTTAATCTCAGTACTACAATTTGTCTATATATACATATGCATATATATGTACATATATGTAATGCTTTTTGAGACAAGATTTTACTGTGCAGTTCAGGCTGGGCTTGAACTCACTTTGTAGCCCAGGCTAGCCTCAAACTCACAGTGATCCTCCTGCCTCAGCCTCCTGAGTGCTGGCATTAGAGGCTTGCAAAGCAGACCTGGATTACTGTTTTGTTTAAACAATCTTTTTTGTTTTGAATTTTCAAACTCTTTTCTGCATAGTTCAGGCGGCCCTTGAACTTGCCTTGTTTCCCAGAGTGGCCTCAAACTTGGGCTCTTCTCCATCACAGCCTCGGTGCTGGGACTACAGTTGTGTGTCATCAGCAGGCCTGGCTCTACAAATACTTCTCATGCATAAGGATTTTTTTTTTTTTTTTAAAACAAGGTCTTACTGTTCAGGCTGTTCTTGAACTCTGGGTAGCCCAGGCTGGCCTTGAAATGCATCGCAGTCCTCTTTTGGCTCAGTTTCCCGAATGCTGGAATTACAGGTGTGCAAAACCAGACCCTCCCCTCAAAGAACCATGCCTGACCTTTTTTTTTTTTTTTTTAATGCTTAAGTGTATCTTGAAGATTGTGTGGGATATATTTATACTAAAATAATTATTACTTATTTGAAATTCATATTCGGCAGGACAGCCTATGTCTTGTATGGTGATTGTCTTCACTGAGAAGCGTTCATGAAAAATGGGAATCCTGGGGCTGCTCCCACTCGGTGGGGCTGAGCCCTGGAAACTGCATTGGGCACAAGCATCCACTCGGGGTGTGAGGCGTGGGTGTCCCAGGCCTGGCACTGGTCTTTCCTTCTCCCCTCCTTCTAGGCACAGCCATGGGTCTTGGTCTCAGGGGAGTCCTCCTGAGATGCACCCTTTGTGCACCCCAAGAACTAAGGAGCTCATTTGTGGAACATATCTGAATCTTTTTAATCTTTTTTGAGACAGGGTCTCAGGACACGGTTTAGGCTGGCCTTGAACTCAGTAGTTGGCCCAGGCTGGCTTTGAACTCAAAGCAGTCCTCCTGCCTCAGCCTCCTGAGTGCTAAGATTACAACCATGCACCACATGCTGCAGCATCACCGATTCTGAAGGCAGTGTCCTGTCATACTTTGCCCCTTTCTGTTCCTGATCCCGTGTCAGTGGTCAGAGTCCCACTGTGTAGGAAGCCAAAGCCGGGGAGGGGGAGGACTGGTGCCTGAGAGCTCTGCACCAGGGAAGGGCCAAGCCGGACCCAGGTCCTCCGCAGCAGGACCAGTCGGTGGGTGCTGCCTGGCCAGACAGTGGGGTCCCAGCTGTGAGCCTTCACCTTGGTTTCCCAGGGACATCACCATGGCGGCTCACCCACTCCGAAAAGAAGAATAGATGCCACTTCCTGCCCTCCCCAGTGCCAGGCTGGGCTGGTGTACTCTGCCAACCCCAGGCCTACGGCCTCCTGCCCCCCTAGAGTTGGGGTAGAGACCCCCGGGAGGGACAGGGGTCCTAGGCCGCGGAAGGGAGTGGCTGCCAGAGTTTCCTGCTCCCTGAGGCAGCCCTTGGGCTGTGGCAGGTGGGGAAGGACCTGTTCTTGTCCTGGGACAGTCACCCCCCTAATTCCCAGGGGTCCCCCTGTGCCCATGGTCTTTGCAGCTGCCTCCTGACTTCTGAACGCCCTCCCAGGCCACTGTGTCCTGACGGCAGCCTCCCATGATATCGCCTGTTTTGTTTTTCTGCAGACAGAGGTCGTAGTCTTAGAGGGACAAATGAGGCTGTGTTTCTATTTGCTCTGGGGACAGTGCAGGTTTTGTGGCCCTGGCAGGCCTTGGGGGCTGCAGAATTGGCGGATGTATAGCTGGGGATCCAGCAAGCCACCAAGGCCTCCCCGGGACCCTTCCCTGACCTGGAGCCCTGGGCAGCAATCGCAGAGGTGGCTCAGGCCCCCACGGCAGACTGGGTGCCACATCGCCCATTCCGCTCTCACAGCTGAGATGACCAGGCCAAAGCCCTGTGGGTCCTCCATGGTGCCAGGCGGGGTTGTAAACCCATCACCCAGATCCTGGGACCGTCAAGGGCTGAGCCAGGTGGTACCCCTTCAGGAGGGGAGACCCGAGCTGGGAATTAATGGGCACATCCCATCCCTGTCCCCTGGAGGAGCAGTGGGCTCTGGGCGCTCAGCGTGTTTTGAGGTCATCAAGATACACTTTAATGGGGGCTGGGAATTTAGCTCAGTGGCATAAGCACCTGCCTTGTAAGCAGGCAGTCGTGAGTTCGATCCCCGGTACCGATAAAAAGGAAAAAGACAAAAAAAGATACACTTTAATGCCACCCGTAGTTTATCTCTAGGTAACTGTCAGGCAGCGCTGTCTGATGGAAACCTAAGAGCTGCAAAGTTAGTTTCTTACGTTTTGATGGCCATGTGGGTTGTGCTGGGTAACTGCTCCGCCACTGAGCAATCCCCCAGCCCTTTTTATTTTGAGACAGGATCCTGCTAAGTTGCCCAGGCTGGTCTCGAGCTCCCAGCTTGACTTGGCTTCCTAAGTGGCTGGGATACAGCTGTGCACCGCAGTACCTGGCAGTGTTAGGAAAACGTTAACCTGTGTTTCAGAAGACCGAAAGTGTTGAAATGCATTTTAATAAAATGCATCTTTTTTTTTCTGGCCATACTGAAGGTTGAACTGGGGGCCTTTATGCTAAGCTTTATCTCCAGCCTTTAGGTCCCCCCGCCCTGGTTTTTGTTTTTTTTGTTTTTTTTTCTGCGCAAAAGGATCTGGCTAAGTTCCCCAGAATGGACTTGAATGTGGGATCGATCCTCCTGACCTTTTAAAAAGTTTTATTTTCAGGCAGAGCCTCGCTAAGTCACTGACTAGCTCAGGTTATCTGCAGACCTGTGATCCTCCTGCCTCAGCCTCCCAGACGGCTGGGATGGCGTGTGTGTTACCACACAGAGCCAGCAGAGCTCTGAGCATATACATTCAAGACTGGCAGTGATGGGGGGCACTGTTCTGCTCAGGGTGGGGTGGGGTGTGCTGCTACACAACCAGCCCTCGGCTCATGGCCACCTCTGCTCAGGTCTTCAGGGTCCGTGAGCTGGTGGACTGTTTGTGGGGAGCCTCATGCCAGGCCGGGTTTGCACTTGGTGCCGGCCGTCCCCATGACAATTGTGATGGTCCGATGGGCGTTCTGTGACAGTGAGCCAGCTGGGGCAGATGTGGGCAGGGGCTGCACCCTGTCAGCTGAGCTGGCAGCTTTAGGCTGGCAAATTGGCACAGCCCCAGAAATCCAGGACCCACCAGTGGCACCCCCAGTCCTCTGTGTGCACCTGGCCTCTTGTTGGGCTTTCTGTCCCCCAGCCTGCTGCTCTTGTGGTCTGTGACCACAAGGGACTAAGGGTGTAAGGATGGAGTGCTTGCAGCCTCTCTGTGCACCATGAGGACAGTGACATGGCAGGTTTCCAGGGCATGTTCTCCCCCATCTGGCCTCTGCCACCTCCGAATTACAGGGCCACCTCAGGTGTGTGCTGCCCCCGTGCCCTGGAGCCTGGATCTGCAGTGGGTGGGCTGCGGCGGGCACAGGATCTGCGGCTGTGTTCCTTCTGGACCTTTGCGACATCGATACATGATGTGGCCAGGCGGTTCAGTGGTCAGCGCTCACCCAGCATGTGCAGGGCACTGGGTTTCATTCCTGGCGCTCAAAACTAAAACCTAACAAGCGGTATTCTTTTCGGTACAAGTGATGTCCCAGCTTTCTCCACGAGCCAGCAGAGACTTAGATTCTGCAAACTGGAGCTTAGTAGGATGTGGGCCAGAAGGGAGCCAGCTCTGGGCCACACCTAGGCTGGACTTACGGGCTGGGCTCTGGATCTGGCCTGCTCAGCCTCCCGGGACGGACTCCGCTGGCCCCTGCCCAACGGCATCCTGCTGCCATCGGTCTCTGTCTTCCACAGTCCCCGCCCTCCGAGGACAAGCATGGAGAGCATGGAGCCGATCCCGGGCCTCACGGAGCAGCAGGGTCCCGACAAGGCAGCTGGGAGGGCAGAGCAGGAGCCTGCGCCCTGGCAGGCCGTCCCCGTGCTGTCCGAGCAGCAGTCCGGGGCTGTGGAGCTGGTGTTGGCCTACGCTGCGCCCGTGCTCGACAAGCGCCAGACCTCTCGCCTCCTCCGGGAGGTGGCTGCCGTCCACCCGCTGCCCGCGCAGCCCCACCTCAAGCGGGTGCGCCCCCGGCCCGGTGCCCACGGCGCCCCTGCGCTGGAGCTGCTGCTGTGCCTGGCCGGCCCGGCCCCCGGCCCGCGCTCCCTGGCCGAGCTGCTCCCCGAGCCCTCTGTGGATCCCCACGGCCTGGGGCCTCCCTTTCTGGTCCCCGTGCCCGCCCGGCCGCCCCTTACCAGGGACCAGTTTGAGGAGGCCCGGACGCACTGGCCCACGGCCTTCCATGAGGACAAGCGAGTGACCAGCGCGCTGGCCGGGCAGCTCTTCTCTGCCGGGGAGCGAGTGGCTATGCAGGACCACATGGCTCGGGCGGTTCGCGCAGCCCGGCAGGCGCTGGCCCAGGGCTTCCGGGCCGTGGGGGCAGTGGTGGTGGACCCCGCCGAGGACCGCGTGCTGGCCACGGGCCATGACTGCCGCAGCGCCGCCAGCCCCCTGCTGCACGCCGTCATGGTGTGCATCGACCTCGTGGCCCAGGGCCAGGCCCGCGGCGCCTACGACCTCCGCGCCCACCCGACCTGCACCTTCTCCCCAGCCGCCGCCCCACCGGCCCGTGCAGGCGCCGTGCGCAAGCTGGAGGAGGAGGAAGACGAGGACGGCCAGCCCTACGTGTGCACCGGCTATGACCTGTACGTCACCCGGGAGCCCTGCGCCATGTGCGCCATGGCCCTGGTGCACTCCCGCATCCGGCGCGTCTTCTACGGGGCCGCCTCTCCCGACGGCGCCCTGGGCACCTGCTTCCGCGTCCACGCCCGGCCTGACCTCAACCACCGCTTCCAGGTGTTCCGCGGTGTCCTCGAGGACCAGTGTCGCCTGCTGGACCCCGACACGTCGTAGACTCCGCGGACCTTCTCTTCTGGACCTTCTGCGTGGCCCCAGGCCGCCCTGCAGGCTGCTGTCCTGTTCCTCAGTTTCGGGACACTGCCCTGCCGGGTCCCCACCTTCTCGCCGACAAGGGTTCCGCCGGGCAGGGTCGGTTCCTGCTTCGGAGCCCTCCCTCCGCCCCACTGTGTGTCGGAAGCAGTCCTGACCTGTGCCAATAAACCTTCCCCAACCCGAGCTGCTGTCTGTGTAGAGTTGCTAGCGTCTTTGGGGTCCCCCATGCAGCGCTGGGGCAGGCTGGGAGCGTGGGGGTAGGGTGGGGGTCCTCTGGGCTGAGCATGGACCCTCGTTCAGGGGTGTCCATGGAACAAGCGCATTTGAACACTGGCACTCTGGGCTCAGCTGACTCGGAGGCTTCTCCGTGGTCGTCCTACGGGTGACCTGAAGGGGCTATCATGAGTGTTGCCGGTGACCTGAAGGGGCTATCATGAGTGTTGCCGGACAGAGCTGGAACTGACAGTGGGGACCCTGAGCAGGGCCCCTGCTGACCAGACCCGCGCACCCTCTGGCCTGGGCGCTGATCACCAGGCCCCTCTGGGGATGGGAGTGGCTGCCCTGCTACCCTTCCCTTCCCTTCCCGCCAGGCTCAGAGGGGAAGTGTCATGTGACACCCCACTTCTGCCCGGGCCACCCTCTGAGCCAGCAGCTGAGCTAGAGGGTTTTTCCGGCAGAAGCCTGACGTTGCTCTGGAACGGGCTCTCTGGTCACTGAGGGTGGCCCCAGCCTGTGGCAGAGCATCGCATGGATCCCCCAGTGGCCACAGGGTCCCTGACATCCTCTCTCCTTCCAGGTGGCTTCGGGCTCCAGCACAGGTGCCAGGCCAGCCAAAGCAGACATGTCCGGTGAGTCCAGTGGGGCTGCCATCACCGAGGGTCTGCTGTGTGTCCCTGGGAGGTGTCCTCCAGTGGGGAGGGACAGCAGGGGCCACTTTCATCCTTAGCTCATGCATGACTTGACATAGTGGGTCCTGCGTTCTGGCATCCACAGGGTGGCTTCCATGTGCTCTTGTCTGCAAAGCTGCCGTACCAAAGGTGGCAGGAAGCTGGTAACAGGGCCATGGGTTCATGTTTATCTTCTGGGTTAGAAATCAGGTAAAGCAAGTGGCCTTGGAGGGTGATCCAGGGGCTGCGCCATAACTGCCTCAACTCCTGCCATCTCGTCCTCCCCTGTCTCCTCACCATTCCTGGACCTGTAGGATGCTTACCCCAGGGCCTTTGCACTGGCTGTGCCCAGGACCTGTGGTCTGCTGGGCTCCTCTCCCCACCCCGGCACATGGTGATCTGGAGCTGCCCCACTGGCCTCTTTCTAGCTGTTGGCATCTTTCAAGCAGTGGTTGTACAGGGTGTGTGTCTGTGGCTACCATTAGTTAACCTAGGCCATATTAGGGTGCAGTACCTTAACCGAGGGATGGATCTCAGTAAGAAGGGGGTCAGGGCAGGCAGAAACAGAGGCCCGAGCCACGAGCCATGAGCCAAGGTGCACCAGAGCCCCAGAAGCAGGAGGAGGCAGAAAGGGCTTCCCAGGAGCTGCACAGGGGCCTTGGCTGGCCACAGCTCTAGGCCTGGGCCTTCTGGGTTCTGCAGCAGAGAAGGTCCATTTCTGAGATTTCAGGCTGCTGGCATTTGAAGACCGCTCCAGGAGCCTGGTGCAGTGGTGACCTTCCACTTGCCAGACCCTTCGGGAGCGTGCTGAGGAATTGCCAGGTAATAAAATAACCAACAGAAGACTCGCCACACTTAGTGGCTTAAAACAACAAGATTTAAGCCAGGAAGGGCAGCCACGCCACACATCCCAGCTGCTCGGGAGGCTGAGGCAGGAGGACCCCTGGAAGCTCGAGGTCAGCCTGGGCTGTAAAGTGAGCTCATGTCCAGCCTGAACTGCATAGCAAGACCCTGTCTCAAAAAGACCAAAAAAATTTTTGTTGTTGTTGTTTTTGTTTAAGTAAGGCCGGTGTAGCTTAGTGGTAGAGGGTTGCCTAGTACGTCAGAGGCCCTGGACTTAATTCTCAGGAGTGAAGAGAAAAAAAATGGCAAACTTTGCCATCTTAGAATCTGAGAGTCAGAGGTCTGAAATGAGCCGCTGGGCTGAGTCCGGGCCTGGCCACAGGGCTGCCCCCTTACAAGGCTCCAGGGAGAGCCCAGGCACCCCCCCCCCCCCGGGCGCCCACAGCCCTTGGCTTGCGGCCCCTTCCTCCATCTGCAGAGCCCTCATTGCCGTGTCTCCCATCTCTCTCTGCCTCTCACCCCCCAACCCTCCTGGGCGTCCCCTCTTTGCCCATCCCGGCCGTGGGCCCATGGTGGGCTTTTCTCCCTGCAGGTAAGGAGAACAACTTCCCGCCTCTGCCGAGGTTCATCCCGCTGAAGCCCTGTTTCTACCAGGACTTCGCCGACGAGATCCCCGTCGAGCACCAGGTGCTGGTGAAGAGGATCTATCGGCTTTGGATGTGTGAGCCCTGGGCGTGGGGCTGCAGGGCGGGACACCGGGCCGGGGCCGCCCCGTCCTTGGGAGCCCAGCCGAACCCCATCTGTCCTGAGGCAGCAGGGTGCAGTGACCCTCAGGAGCCCCGAGGGTAATCTGAGCCCATCTGTGCTCCCTATGGCCACTGCGGCCACATCCTGAGCCTCCCCAGCTCCTCCTGAGGTCCCCAGGTGTCTCCTGAGCCCAGGAGGTGACCCTCGGGCCCGGCCAGCATCTTCAGTGGCAGCTGGCTCAGCCTCGCCTCCCTCCTCCCCCCAGTTTACTGTGTCACCCTCGCCATCAACCTCGTCGCCTGCCTGGCCTGGTGGATTGGCGGTGGCTCCGGGGCCAACTTCGGGCTGGCCTTTGTCTGGCTGCTGCTCTTCTCGCCCTGCAGCTACGTGTGCTGGTTCCGGCCCGTGTACAAGGCCTTCCGGTGGGTGTGGGCCTGGGGACTGGGTCACCGCTGCGTGCGCACTGTGTCCGGCCCAGTCATTAGCAATGGCTGGGTGTCACCTTGGGGGCTTCCTGGTCCCATGTGGCACTGGGGATGGAACCCAGGGCCGTTGCACTGAGCTCTTGTTACTTTTTGAGTCAGGGTCACTAAGTCACTGCATTGCCCAGGCTGGGCTCAAACTTGTGATCCTCCTGCCTCTGCCTCCCGAAGTGCTAAAGTGATGGCTGTGTGCTGCCGTCCCCGGCTTCTGGCTTTTTGTTGGTTTGTTTTTTGTCTTCTTGAGACTGGGTCTCACTATGCAGCTCAGGCTGGCCTTGAGCTCACTCTGGAGCCCAGGCTGGTCTCGAACTCACAGCGATCCTCCTGCCTCAGCCTCCCGCGTGCTGGGATGACAGGCATGCGCCACCCTCTGGATCGTCCAGGTGTTTGAAAGTTCCAGGGGCACCAGGGCCTCCCCCAGGGTGGCAGCATGGGCCTCCCTGTTGCGTCCACCCCATAGCCCCACACAGTCCCACCCCAGCTCCCCCACGCCACCCCTGGCCTGAGGCCCCAGCAGCATGGTGCAGTCAGCAGGTGGCTGGGTTGTGTGTCCGTCCATCCTGTGATGGACACGGGCCGTGAGTCATTGACAGCTGGCTGCCCACAGTCACTCGGGTCTCTCATGGTCACCCCCAGACTGACCCTGGGCCACAGACCAAGTGAGGGGGAAGGCGCTTGAGGGTTCCCGGAAGACAGGAAAGATGTGAATCACGGGGAACACCGGGCACAGGGCGCCGGGCACAGGGCCCTGGGCACCGAGCGCTCCCTGCCGCCCTGCTCTCCCCGCAGCCACCGCTCCAGGGTTCGAGGGTCCCAGGGGCTGCGCTGTCCGTCCAGAGGTGCAGTGACAGCCCGTCCTGCCCCTGGCCTGGTGCCCTCCTGTGCAGCCTCAGGCCATAAGCAGGTCTTTTTCTGTCCCCACAGAGCTGACAGTTCCTTCAATTTCATGGCCTTCTTCTTCATCTTCGGGGCCCAGTTTGTACTGACCGTCATCCAGGCTATCGGCTTCTCAGGATGGGGCGCGTGGTAAGCTCCGTCTCAGGGTGCCGTGGAGGGGTGCGGGTTGGCTACGGGAACGGGCGGGGGTGCAGCTCCGTCCCCAGTAGGAAAAGAAAGGACTGTAGCAGTGTGCCTGTGTCAGCCGTCCAGGCCAGGCCCGGGGCACACACCCAGGGCGGGCTATGGATTCGGGGTGCGGTGACCCGGGACCCTGTGGGACCTCAGCGCCTCAGCCCAGAGCGTCTGCGAGGACAGGAGGTTCACCTGTGTGCCAGGGGCTCCAGCCAGGTGGCCTGGCTGGGGGGAGCTGGAGAGCCCTGAGAGGATGCCACCTGTCACATGGTCCCTGATGGAAGCGTTCCTGTTGGGGGGTGCATACCCCCCACTTTCTGCTTCTTGGAGATCTCTGGGGCTGGTGGCAGATATGACCACCAACTGGATGACCCGAACTCAGGTCTGAAGGTCCGGGTTGTAAAGCAGGCCCAGCCTGCAGCCCATGGCTGACGGCCCCTCCACCATCTGCAGAGCTACAGTACAGCCTCTCAGGGGAACCCCAGGTGGTCAGGATGAGTCCTTCACGTTATCCCATCTGCAGAGTCCCTTTTGCCATGGAGGTGACATCTCCCGGGCCCCCAGGGATAAGTAATTGGACACCTTCAGAGAGCTGTCACCCAGCCAGCCCCACAAGTAGCATTGGGGGCTCTTGGTGTGAGGCGTGAGCTCAGGCTTGCTCAGGTCCCTTCCCGTGTCCCAGGCCGGGGGACTTTGGCAGCACTGAGGGGCTGCAGACGTCCGGCGCTGGGTGACTGTTTGGTTTTGTGTTTTGAGACAGGGTCTTACTGTTTAGTTCAGGTGCCTGTGAACTCACTGTGTAGCCCAGGCTGGCCTCAGTCTCACAGTGGTCCTCCTGCCTCAGCCTCCCAAGTGCTGGGTGTCCACTGCTGTGCCCAGTGTCTTGGGGTTGCGCCCATGAGCAGCAGTTCTATGTCCCTGTGCTTCTCACTCGCCCTTTCCCGTGGCTGCCACCTTCTGGGCCATGGTTCTTGCATCCTGTTGGTGCTTTCCTCTGGCTCCTGGGGCCACTGCTGGACTTGCTGGACCTGGGCTCAGCTCTTTGCCTATTTTTTTGTACCGGGACTCGAACTCAGGACCTTGTGCTGGCCAGGCAGGTGCTGTGATGCTGAACTACATCTCCAGCCCAGCTCTTTGCCTTGGAACTCTGGGTTTTGGTTCTGGGGTACAGAACCCAGCACCTCGCACTGCTAGCCCAACACGGAGCCCTACAGTGCTGTCCAGCACGTTCCACTGAGTCCAGGAAGCTCCCCGGCCCCAGGCCCGCCCTCCCGCCCTGCCGAGGGTACCCGTGTCTCTCCTGTGCCAATGAAGGCAGCAGCCTGGCTCATTTCTCCCAAGTCCTCAGTGACAAAGGTGGCCCGGGGGTATCACTGCATTCTTGGTGGAGGGCAAGGCCCCGCATTACTGGACTGGTCAGGCAGCAGGTTCCCCCTGCCTTGTGGAGTCCGGGGTCCCAACAGGCCTCCTCCCCTACCCCACTCCTGTGCCCCCGGGGGAGCAGATAGGGTGGGCTGGTGTGGTCACCCAGGGTGGCTGGGCCTAGTACACCTGGGTGCTGCCATGGAAGCCTGTGGAACCACTGGCACCTGGTTCTTTAGAGCATCGGGCTTTCTCTGAGAGGGGCACAGGGTGGACAGACAGCCTCGGCCTCGGATGAAGGCTCGAGCCTCCCCTACAGCCCACGGGGGAGGTGGCCCCAGGAGCACTGCAGAGGGTGGGGGCAGGACACCCCTGTCTGCTACACAGCCAGCTGGCCACGGGGGTCCTCATGGAGGCCCCGGGGATAGGACCTGACCGGAAGTGCATGGGAGCTCGTTGCTGGGCACTGCTCTGTGAATGTCCTAAGTCACTCAGAACAGACGAGCAGGGTCTCTGAGCAGGGTCAAGGTGGCTGGGCCGGGCAGGCCGAGGTCGGAGAGGCCCACGGGCCTCCCTCTGCAACTGGCTTGCGTGTCTCTCTATTATGGCTTTTTGGTTTTGGTGGCACTGGGGTTGAACTCGGGGCTCCCTGGCACTGAGCTGCATCTCCAGCCCTTGCTGGAACTTGCGTCCTCCCGCCTCAGCCTCCTGAGTGTGGGACCCTTCCAGTCTCTGACTGTCCCCTGCTGCCCCCTGTGCCAGAGCACAGGGTCCCCAGCCTTGGGCGCCTGGGTCATTCCTGGTTTCCCAGGGCTCCCGACAGTCACCGTGGCTCCGACCCACACATGTGGGGTGGGAGGAGCCAGCACCCCAGTCTTAGGTGGCTTTTGAGTCCTCCCACCTCAGCGTCCCCATGTGGCCGCCCAGGTCCCCATGCTGTGCGGCTAAGTGTGCTGTCCCCCCACAGTGGCTGGCTGGCGGCCGTCGGGTTCTTTGGCACCAGCGTGGGTGCTGCTGTGATCATGCTGCTGCCCGCAATACTCTTCTCCGTGTCGGCCGCCCTGATGGCCATCTCCATCGTGAAGGTGAGTGCCGGCCGGGCTCCCCGAGAGACGGGCTGGGACAGTGCCGAGGGCTGTCCCTGCAGCGGCTCCGTGGGGCACGCCTGGCCCTCTGCATCAGGCTCGCAGATTCCAGGAGCACTCGGACCCCGTGCTGCACCCATGGGTGAGGCCCGGGCGTGCGCCCTGGGCTGCAGGGTGGCCCTGTGCCATGCACTCTCCCAAAGGACGCACAGCGGGGCCTCAGTGAGGAGGGGTGGGGGCGGCAGCAGAGGTGCCCAGGGAGCCAGCATCCCTGCACCAGGCCTGGCCAGAGGACTGTTAGGGCACTGTCGCTCCTCCACGTGACCTGGTCACAGCAGCGGGGAAGGGTCCCAAGCTGGCTCGGGTCTCTGGAGTCGCCACCCACCCTACTCTTAATGGATTCCAGCATGGCCAACGCTGGGGGCAGGGACAGCGGCACTGCCTAGGTCAGGACTGACCAGTGACCCAACGTCCAGCACGTGCCTGGCCCAGAGCAGGAAGTGGCCGCTGCCACCCCCCTGTGTCGAGGGCCGTCCTGGAGCAGCCATGCGCCCCGCGTGGCCCCATCGCCAGCACCCTGCTGAGGGGAGGGCGGTGGCCTGAGCCCCCCCCCCAGCCCCACCACTCCCTCCACCTCCCCCCGCCTGCCACAGGTACACAGGATCTACCGCGGGGCGGGCGGAAGCTTCCAGAAGGCGCAGACAGAGTGGAACACAGGGGCCTGGCGGAACCCGCCGTCGCGGGAGACCCAGTTCAACAACTTCTCGGGGAACAGCCTGCCCGAGTACCCCACCGTGCCCAACTACCCGGCCAGTGGCAGCCAGTGGCCCTAGAGGGGTCAGACCAGCCCTGCGCCTGCCGGCCAGCCCTGCCCCTCCGCACCCACGGCCCCTGGTCCTTCAGGGCCTGAGCACCGCACTGGGGCTGCCCCCTCAGCAGGGGCCGGCACTGCCAGAGCCCGAGTTCATCTCATCCCGGGGCCACGGCCCGGCCGGGGGGCAGCTACGCCTTCATCTCCACCGCAGAGGGTGGCAGCCGCCTGTGCTGCCCGTCCCTGCAGCACTGAGGACTCGGGGGTCCTGGTGCCCAGCTCCGTGTCACCCCTTAGTTCCCCATCACCTGGGCTGGGGAGAAGCTGGCATCTTGTCACCCTCTGTCCCTCGTGCCCCATGGGGTGACGGCTCCCTGGATGGGGCTGTGGGGACAGCAGAGGCAGGTCCCCTGCCTGGCTGGGCTTCTTCCCTGCACTCCTGCCCCCTGGACAGCCCTGTTGGGACCCCGCTGTCCTGAGTTTCCTCCTGAGGCAGGCGGCCTTCCTCTCCTGGGACCAAGCTTCCGCCCCTCAAGACTCTGTCTGTGTTCTGAAGACTGGCCGAGCCCCGGTCAGGGTACCGTCCTGACCTGGAGCAGAGCAGCCTGCCTCAGCCACACGGTGGAGGGCGGCCAGGGCCCGGAGAGGCTCCCCTGGCTTCAGGGGTGCAGGGGGACGAGGAAGAGGACGGCCTTGTCCCCGGGGGGGACAGCCCTGTGCCACCGCAGAGCGGAGTCTGGCGGGCAGCACTGTTTACCTCCCCTGCCCCCGGCGCACTGTCCCGAGGGGCCCCCGCAGCTCCCTTAATGACGTTTGGGCCAAAATCGACTTTCCTGGGCGGCCTTTCCGTGCTGACGGCCAGGCCTCCCCAGGTCCTCTGCACCCAGCTGCCCGTGCCTGGCAGGAAACTCACAGGGAGGTGCCAGCCTGGGCCCCTGGCCACGGGTCCTGCCACCGCCTCAGGGCGCAGGGGGTTTTGTCAGCTGATGAAGATCTGGAAATAAATCTTTCATTCTGCACCAGTGAGCGGCGGGCTGCGTCTATGGTGCGTGTTGTCCCCTAGGCCATCCTGTGCAGTGGGTCCCAGTGCACGTGGCCGGTGTCCCGTCATCAGGGTGGCCCTGCAGTGCCCATCTCCATGACAGGCCCCTGCAGTCCACTTCCCCTTCGCCCTCTGCAGACTCTTAGCCCCAGATTCAGCCACCAGGGGGCACCGGTGGATCCCACAGGGCCTGGAGCCTGCTCTGCTCCCCCATGGCTCCCTGGTCCCCCCAGCACAGCTCCCTAGAGTTTACCTCATCCCAGCCACTCCGGATGCTGAGGCAGGAGGATTACAAGTTTAAGCCCAACCCAGGCACTTAGTGAGATCTTGTTTCAAAGTGAGAAAGGCTGGGGGTGTATCGGGTGCTCTGGGTTAGGGCTAAAGCCAAGAAAGAATCCCCACTCCTCGGGCACATCCCGACCCTTCCCCACCCCAGCCTCTTCTGTCCCCAGAGTCCTACCAGGAGCCCTGACTGCAGCCCCAGGTCGGTCCCTAAAAGGACCCCATGCCCCGCGGTGGGTCATTCCTGTGTGTCCCTCTGTAAACACCGCCGCTTCCTCGTGAGGGTCCCCGGTACCCCCAGCGCTGACCTGACAGGGCACCTGCAGGCCGCCTGAGCTGCAGCAGGAAGCACACATCACTGCTTTTGTGATCCCCGCCATGTAGGAGCTGAGGCCGGTGGGGAGGAGTTCCCGCCCAGCCCGGCAGCTTAGCGATGTATGGAGACCCCTCTGAAAAAGTAAACAGGGCTGGTATGGAGCCAAGGCTGAGGGCCCTGGACTCAATCCCAGTGCCCCCAGAACAGAACAGCACGGGCCAGGGATTTAGCTCAGCGGCAAAGCACCTGCCTGGCAGGCATGAGGTCCTGAGTTCAGATCCTGGTTCCCCCCAAAGAGAAACCAAACAGAACAGTAAACACCTCCCCGTAGGAACCCACCCTTCTGAGCACCTTTCTGGGCTGGTTTTATGGAATGAGTCCCCAGAGTAAGTTTCTGACGCCAGGTCCTGGGCATGCTAGGGACACTGGGCCTCCCCCATGGGTAAGAGAGGAAACTGAGGCACCAACGTGCATCCCCAGGAAGGCCACCAGGAAGCAGAAGCAAGGGTCTGGGCTGCTGCCCACGTGCCCTGTTCTGTCTGGGCGCTGTGCCCGGGAACCCCCAGAGGCTCTGTCAGGCTGCCTTCCAGGAGGCCGCAGAAATCATTCTCTGGCCCCGAGCCACTTGTCAGGAATGCCGGGTTGCACAGTGCCCAGAACACGCTGTCCTGAGCAGCTCCGTCCCCCAATGTCTGCGGGCCAGATGGACCGCGTCTGCCCAGCGGCCATCCCCGTGTCCCAGGCTGCCACACTGGGGGGAAGGTGGCCCAGGGCTGTGCAGCCTGGACACTGCCCTGGCCGTGGCTTGTACCTTAGGCAACAAGAGTGGTTCTGGACTGAGTGCTTCTTAAGTCTTTCGCCTCCCGGGCTGCTGGAGGTGGACCCTGGGCCTGGCCTGTGCCAGGCAAGTGTGCGTCACTGAGCCACACCTCAGCCCTGTTACACGGTCTTGCACATTTGCTGAGTTGGTCAGGTTAGTGCTGAATTTGGGACCCTCCAGCTTCAGCCTCCTGTGTAGCTGGCATGATAGATGTGTGCTGCGATGCTTCAGATAGATGCTCTCAAAGGGTGTGCGTGTGTATATGTGTGTGTGTTTCTTTTTGAGACAGGGTCTGGCTGTGCAGTTCTGGCTGGCCTTGAGCTCACTTTGTAGCCCAGGCTGGTCTCAAACTCGCAATGATCCTCCTGCCTCAGCCTCCGAGTGCTGGATGACAGGAGTGCACCCCCACACCTGGCATCACAGGCATTTTTAAGTGTGCCCCAAGTGCTGGGTCACAGGCACAGGTGGCTGTGGATGGGCACATGGCTGGATCGTCACCACTCTCTGGGTGTCTCTCCCAGGAGAGCACAGAGGCTGTGGCCTGTGTCAAGCTGCCGCAACGCGACAGAGGTGACAGATGCCCCTCCAGGGTCACACACGGCCTCCTCCAGAGACAAATGCTCCCTTCCTGCCACCGTGGGGAAGTAGGATCCCCAGAGCTTAGCCACGAAACCAACCTGCCAGCCAAGCACAGTGTCCCATGCCCCGTAATCCTAGCACTCCGGGAAGCTGAGACAGGAGGATCACAAGTTCAAGCCCAGCCTGGGTGACTGACTTACTGAGCCCCTGAAAATAAAAATTCAGATCAAATTAAATCAGATAAATATCTGAAAAGAAACAACAATAAAAGGCTGGATTCCATGCTCATAATGAGGGGAGCGTAGTTTCGCCAGGCTGTGGGATTCAGTGATGAGCAACAGCAAACAGACTAATGGGGGTAGGGAGTATGTGTGATGCCCTTGGGTTCAGTGCCACCGCCCAGAAAAGAAACCTCACAGATCTGTTTAGCTGCCCAGGCTAGTACTGAATTTGGGATCTTGCTACCTCTGCCTCCCGCTACAGCTGGAGCAGGTTTGAGGGTCCTGAGGATGGCGCTTGCTTTGCACTGAGGTATGTCCCCAGCCCTTTTTAGAAATTTTATTTTGAGTCACTGAATCACCCGGGCTGGATTTAAACACTCTGTCTGCTCGGCCTTCCAGAATGCAGGTGACAGGCACACACACACGCTCAGCACGCAGTCTGAGTAAGTTTTTTATACCCAGCGGCCGGGGATGTAGCTCAATGGTACAGTGCCAGCCTTCTGGCAAGCGTGAGGTCGTGAGTTTGATTCCTGTTACCAAAAAGAAAGATAAATTCATTGACTGGTTCATTGACTGACTGACTGAGATAGGCTCTTGCTGCGTAGTTCAGGGTGGTCTTAAATTTTTTTTTTTTTTTTTTGGTCTTTTTCGTTTTTATCGGTACCAGGGATCGAACTCACCACTGCCTGCTTGCAAGGCAGGTGCTTATGCCGCTGAGCTAAATCCCCAGCCCCGGCCTTAATATTTTTATTTGCAGTGTGATCCTCCTGCCCCAGCCTCCCACGTTCTGGGATTCCAGGTAATGTGGCCTATACACAGCTAAGTGGGATTTTTATTTATCTTTTTTTTTTTTTTTTTGGTTCCAGGAATTGAATTCACAACTTTATACTTGCCAGGCAGGCTTTGTGCCGCTTAGTACATTCCCTGGCCCCAGGATTTTTAAAGGACACTTAGATTATAAGTGAGAGAGACAGACACAGAGAGACAGACACAGAGAGACAAAGACAGACCATCCATGTGTTCGTGTGTCTTTCTGCCCTCCCTCTTTTTTCCCTTCTTTTGATGCCGGGGACGGAACCCAGGGCCTCTCACATGCTGACAGTGTGCTCGCCGCTGAGTGGCACCCCCTGCTTAGAAATCACATCTGGCCTCAAGCTCACTGCAGTCCAGGCTGGCCTTGGGCTCAACCCTCCTGCCTCGGCCTCCGGAGTGCTGCAATTCCAAATATGTGTATCACCATGCCTGGCCTGAAATTGTGTCTAGAAGTGACTGCCTTTTCCTCGGGGTTTTGAAGTTGGTGACACGGCTCCTTCCCTCGCTGGGGTCTAGATGCCACCTCTGCCAGACTGCGGCACTGCTGAGTTCACAGGGCTCACTCGGCAAAGCCTTGGTCACCTTCCTGTGTTCCATACAACCTTTCCCCCCGGGGACTGCCCTCCACAGCTGGCCTCCATGACAGGGAACATGGGAGAGATCTCTGTCACTTCCTGGAATTCTCCCCACTATGCAAGGCTGGGGATAAGGGACCAGAATGGCTGCCAGGAAGCCCAGCGTAGATGAAACAGCCCCAAATAAAGTGAAATCCTAACTCGGTCCTGTGGGGTGCACGTCCTCCCAGCCCTCTGGGAAGCTGAGGCAGGAGGCTTGCAACTTCAAGTGTCAGCTTAGTGAGACCGTTTTCAAAGTAAAAAGTAATTAGCTGTGGTGGCCCAGGCCTGTCACCCCAGCACTCAGGAGGCTGAGGCAGGAGGATCGCTGCTAGTCTGAGCCAGCCAGGTTCCATAGTGAGTTCAAGGCCAGCAAGATGATCCGGTCTCAAAAAGCAAAATGAAGTAAAAATTAAAAAGGGCAGGAGATGTAGCTTTGTGGGAGAGAGCTCCTGGATTTGATTCCCCCAAAACACACGCACAAACACCTGTACTACCCACAGCACCGTGCCACCTCCTGCTCCTACACAGGCATGCACAACTCACACACACATGCACAGAAACAGGTCAAGCTCACCTCACCGTGATGCAGCCCCTCACCCTGGCCGCTTCAGTAGAACGGGGTGCACTGGGCTCGTGGCTCTGGAGGTCCAAGGCCACAGTCAGGCTACGCTGTGCGTCTCCGGCTTTTCGAGGACAGCGTCATGGCGGAGTACACAGTGCAGCCCGTGGTCACCTCTTTACAGGAAGCCAACAGCGAGGACAAGGTTGGGGAGACCTGCGGTGGCCTCAGGACTAGCCACCTATCCCATCTCATCTCTGGTGGCCTTCCATCACCACTCTCTACACACAGCCCAGCGCACACAGTGGACAGGACAGGCACCTGTACCCCGCCCCAGAGGACTCCGGGTGACAAGCCTCCTTTCCCGGGTCTTTTCCCAGAATCCTCCTGGCCCCAGCCTGTGAAGGAGCAGGTCCCCCCAGTGGCCCCCTGTGCCTGCTGGGGCCACCCGCTCCTCCCACACCATCCTCATGGGAGCTCTGCCCAGCCCGGCCTCACACTGGGCAACCTCTGCTCCTTACTGGTCCCTCTGCCCAGGGCCGCTTCTGATGTCCCCCTTGTTCTGCTGGCTGGGTGGCTGCTGGAGTCCTAGAAAGGAGTCCTACTGCTGGATGCAAACACAGACTACTGTTCCCAAGATGTCATGTTCTGTCCCTCCAGAATTGTTGCCCTAGTCTTCAGAACGATTTGAAGGGGGCAAATCAGCTGGGTGTGGTGGTGCCTGTCTATAATCCCAGTACTTGGGAGGCTGAGGCAGGAGGATCAATGGAATTTCAA